TACAAAAAGTAACTCCTTCAAAAGCCTTATTAGATATATACGATGTAGTTAGCCCATATTAAATCCAACGAGAGTTATATTTTAAATGTGAGTTGTTGATAATTAGGCAATTTTTTATCAGAAACTAATATGATTTATGCTTATATTTCCTAAAACTTTATTTGACATTATTGAGGTTGAAATATTAGTTGTTGATATAAACATTAGTGTAAAAAATTTATACAACTTTCAATGATATTTTGATTAAAATCATTAGCTACTTTATTTAAAAGCGTTTTGCTAATATAAAAACGTCAGTAAAGATAAATGTGTTGAAGTTATTTATTTTCACTATAATTAAAAACCAATTTTTTTCAGCACATTTGTTAAAAACCGTGGTTAAATCGTCGAAACAAAATTTTATTTGCGTGATCATATAAGACTTAAAATTGCACACCTTCCTGGCCAAGTCTATATATATATTCATATGGCACACCCATTCTTCTTCATTTGAAACTTAATGCCAGTGCATGAAAAAGCGCTGTTTAAGTTTCTAGCGCTTTCACACTTAAGTCTTTTCACACTCACCCACATACCCGCAAAAACTTTGGCAAGCACATAAAAAAAGTACTTGCCAAAAAAAGTGTTTTGTTTTAAAATGCAACAAATCTAAATATATATGTATATATACAGTGAAGAACCCAGACATGTTTTAGTACCGTTTTACCAGTATGGGCGCCCCAAAGTTATTTTTCTTTTTCTTTTGATTTTTTATGAAAAATAGAAAAAAAAATTAGTTTTAAATGCAGTAGTATATAAATAATTATCACTTTAATTTAGCTACCTCATTTTTGCTTCAGGAAAGTAAAAACAATCAAAAAGAAATTACTTTTTTACTTACGTGACGTAATTTGCCTTCCATTATTAACTGGATGTAATTAAAAAAAAAAAAAAAAAAAGTTGTTACAAAATTTAATTTTAAAACCGCGTTGCAAAATTTTGTAACAATGAAATGTATAAAAGATTTGCTTTTTTTGAAAGTTTAAGCAATTTTAAATATCCATTCAGCGTAAGGTTAATTTTTGATTTTGGCAATTAAGAGTAAACTGGTTTTGATAATAAAAATAAATGAACTAAAGATAAAAATAACTTGTAACTATTGCGCAAGTTTAATTTTTAAATGAATGAACTTTTGATCTTTTGCTTGCTATTTTAGTTAAGGTGAGATAAAGGAAAAAGCGAAGTATAAACTTTTTCAGTTTTTTTTTCCTTTCATTAACTTAATAAAAGTTTTATTTAGATCTGTTTAAAACAATCCATAGCAAATGTAATTTATTTATTCAAATGTAATTTTTTAAATTATTCTTAATTAAAAAAATTTTTTTTTTTTTAAATATATGTTTTTAATCAAAATAATAGAATATTTTTACAATTATCTTTAATGTAATTATCTCTTTAATTATCTTTAATTTAAAAGGCGGCTTAAAATCACTAAAAGAATAATAACCTTTGGTAAAAGCCAAAATTTTAAATTTAAAAATAATAGAAACTAAGTTTATTAAATGCTTATTGAATTTATTTGTTAAATGTTTATGTTTTTAATTCAAATACAAGACGTAAAACTATTTTGTTAATTTTACAAATATTACACGATATAATATATGTAAATATATATGTAAATAACTTATATCATATATATCATGTATCAAAAAATAACTGCTGCGCTCTACTTGTGTTATAAAAATAGTTTAACTTACGTTTAGACTAAGAACACATTTATTTAATATTTAATTTTGAGTTTAAAAAAAAAAAAAAAGATTAGGAAAAAAACCCGAAATAACAAATACGAGCTAATTTTTTTTTAAGAATAAATAAAATTTAAATATTTAACAATATTTAGTATCATCTTTAAATAAATTTTACAAGCTTTGTTAAACCCAAGCATTACCTTCAATTTTATATATTTAAATCATATAATTACATATTTTTTTATAAGAATAAAATTATATTTTTGTTAAATTAGTTTTGAATTAAATCATTTATTTTTTTTATCAGAATTAAATTACATTATAATGATCTTTGCTTCAAGTATTAGCGTTTTTCAAGTGAAAAATCGATTGGTGCAATAAAAAAAAAAAATTATTAATTACTATATAGAAATTAAAGTAAATTTTTTTAATGCAATCAAAAGTTGCACAAATATTACTGTCATCTCAAGATTATAAATAAAAATTTTCATTATAAATATTTCTTTTATGTTTTTACTTTTTTTAATAACTACCCGTTAAAAAAAAACTATAAATGTTAACTATAAACAATTTTATTTTCTGTTCGATAAAATAATTAGCCTAATACATATATATATATATATATATATATATATATATATATATATATATATATATATATATATATATATATATATATATCAGGCTTGGTCGGAAAGCGGGTGCGATCGCACTTAATAACTAAACAAAGAAATAATATTTTAAAAATGGCCAGATTTTTTAGTCATTTTGAGAACATTTAAGTTTATGTATGTTTCTTTGTTTGTCCGCAAAATAATAATTAAATTTATTATTTTATCGTAAATTTTAGAATATTTTGTTTTACGGACTTACATGGAAACATACATAAACTTGAATGTTCTCAAACATCTTTGTGTGGAAAAATAAAAATTTGACGAACACAAAAAACCTGCTAAATCTACAAACAACTAATTCTATTGGTTCAAAAAATACGAGCCGAAATATCTAGAGTATTCAAAAAAGACTAACCGAATGTTCTAGAGTATTCTTTTGAAATATTTAAAAAAATTGTATTATTTGAGTTTTGTTATGTTTTTGTTAAGATTTCTAGCATAAATTTTTTCAAGAATATACTATCAAACGAACTATTATTTTAATACTATGGCTCATTCTCGGATCCACATCTACAAAGCTATAAATGTTTTAAACTAACATTTGTTTACAAAAATAAATGTTTTAAATATATATTTTTTAACTTGTTAACAATGTTTTGTAAATATATTTTAGATTTTATTAGTATATTCTTATTTTTAGTATATGTATTTTTTATGTATGGAATTTTATTTATGTGTATTTTATGTGATCTTTTAAAGCAATTTGTGCCAATGATTTTGTAAAAAAAAAAAAAAAAAATTTCAATAATAACTGCATTTTCAATGAAATTATTAATAATCATTAAAGTTAATACAAATAATTTTAACCACTAATCTAGTTTCCTCAGTGTACCTGATAACTGATTCTTTCCCCCAAGAAAAAAAAGTTTTTAAGTTCTTAGAAATTGGTTTACTAACTTTAATTACTTCAGCCATTCTTACAAACTCGTTAAAATTATAAAGCCCACTCACTAAACATCATCAGTGGTATTGTAAAGCAGTTCCGCTTCCTCCTTACTTAGTAATTTAACTTTTTTAGTTAACTTTTATCTACCTAATTGAATTTCTACTAACTCAATGATTTAATTATTTCATTTGTTCATCTTACTAAGAAGAATTGTTTCAGATGTGCTTATCTTTTCAAACTACGCAAAGCATAAAACAGTTATTGAAAAAACTTTTTTATTTATCATAAATAAATCATCTAGCGTTAGTTTTATTAGTTGAATTTTGTTGGACTTTACAGGGCCAGGGCTGCATTATTTTGGTGGCCTTTTTTATGTGCCACAGCGTTAATACTGAATGGAATCCACCCCCACCACCTCCTCAATCTAGCACTGGAAATAAGACAAGTATTTAAATAAAAATTATATATATTCTTTGATACATCGAAGATTTTATTTCCTTATTAATAGTAAGTTGTTACTTTATATAAAAAATGTCGCTTAATTTTATTAAAAAAATTATAAAAGAGCAACGTTTCAAAAATATTTGCTCTAATCGTATTTATTTTGCTTAAAGTTTTCAGGTGTTAAAAGCTTTTTTTTTTTTAACTGTCTTTCACCCATCCAGTTAATCTTATTGCGCTTTTTTGTTTGTTTTTGAAATGTTCTCAAAAAGAATAAAAAATCTGTCTGGTTACGCAATACGCAACTAAATATTATATCGATATTTTAATAATCAAGTACGATCACACCTGCTCCCTGACCAAGCCTGATATATATATATGTTAATCTTTCAGCCATATTCACACATACATATATATATCCTGCAAAATTCAAAGGATTTCAGGTTGACACTAGAATGCCATACAAAGGCGACATCTGGTCTGCAAAAAATTTATTTGGATTTTTTGCTTTCTGTTACAAAAGGGGTAATGATTAATTGCTTATAAAACTTTTGCTTTATGAGAGCATAGCTTTAGACAATAATATAAGTGAAAAAGCGTGAAAACAACAGACATTTGAAAAATAATTTTTATAACCTTTAAAAAGAATAATAACCTTGGTATGCTTTAATAAATTTGAGAAAAACAAACAAATGAATTGAAAAAAAATGAATGATTTTGTTTTATAAATATAACTCATAATGAACAAATATTAAATATTTTTTTACATTTATTTATTTTTGCATGCCAACATTAAGAGATTCAGGTCGGCAGTTATATGCTGTTGTAAAGTAAAGATAGATCACTTTTGCATCAGCATTGCCAAATGCCGACCTGAATTTTGCAGGCTGTATATGTATGTATTTTTACTTAATTTATTATTAAAATTCAAGATTAAAAAAAAACTGTCATCTGTTTCAAAAAAAAAGAATGAATATGGATTACAACATGAGGGAGGGGGCATAATGCCTATTGCATCTTTTATTAAAATCACTTTAACTTGTTTACATTCTAAAAACTTAATTCAAAATTCGCACATTGAGCTTATTTAAAGTATTTAAACTTTCACTTTAAAATTATACTTGTTTAACTATAAGTAAAGACTCATAATAACACTTTATATTCAACTATTAATCTAACATTAAAATGCTAGATTTATATTTACAATTTTTTAAGATTTTACTAATATTTTTAAAAATGCTTTAAAAATAGAAAAATAAAATAGCAACATACCTATCGTTGGAATAGTGGTAACAATTTCTCCAAGTTTTAATTTATATAAAATAGTGGTTTTTCCTGCCGCGTCCAACCCTACCATTAAAATTCTCATTTCTTTTCTACCAAATAAACTTTTAAAAAGAGATTGAAACGCACCCATGATTTAATATAATTTTATAGTGGATCAGTAAATGTAATTCAGGGTTTCTCGAAAAGGGAATAATAACTAGACCCAATTATCATAAGAAGCGTTTCCACTTCAAACACTCCTGTATAAATCCACGTATAAAATAAAAGAATGATCAAGTCTAACGCGCAATGCATTATCTATTTTCGATGAAAAAAAAATTTATCTTCACCCGAGGCGTTCGTTAAAATCAAAATCAAATAAACAGTGACCCGTTTTCTATTTAATGAAAATAAAATTACGGCTTTGGACACCGCTCAGTATTTAGTGGCAAACGTTAAATGCAATGATAACTTAGTTTACTAGTAAAGTTTTCTAGGTCTATTTAAAAAAATTTTAACTCACAATATTGAACATTTACTCTACTATAATGTTATTACAAATTTTAAATTAATTTTATCAGTAGTCTGTAGATACATATAAACTGCAAGCAGATTTATAATAAAATATTATATATGTAATATAAATTGCAATGTTGTTTTTAAAACATTTTTCAGATTTTTTTTAATGAATTTTAATACTAGGGTTCTGTAAATATTCTTTTAAATGTTTTCATAAAAATTTGTCAGATTCCTTTAAAATGACAGGGTTTGCATTAATTTTTCTATACCCCTGAGATAAGCGCTTATAATTTTTCATCCTCTCCATAACAAATGTAGATAAATCTAAAGCTTTACTAAAAAAAATTGTTATTATATAATTTCAACATCCAATTACTGCTTAAACTAAAGTTAGATATCGTTTATCCAGTAAGAGCTTGAAAACTTGTTTAAATAAAAGAAAAAAAGAAATAAATATGCATATATATATATATATATATATATATATATATATATATATATATATATATATATATATATATATATATATATATATGTACATATATATATATATATATATATATACATATATATATATATATATATATATATATATATATATATATGTACATATATATATATATATATATATATATATATATATATATATATATATATATATATATATATATATATATGATATATAATATCAAAAAAAAAAACTTCAATTAAAGTCTTGATAAAACAATTGGTAATTTAGTTATTTTTCTTCATATATTTATACAAATGGAAACCACACTACAGGTGTGGCTCTTTCATCACCACCGTAATCAAATATGAAAAACTCCGTCCGTCATAATGGCGGATAGTAACATCATTTAGTATATTCTCGACAAAAATTACTTATGGAATTTGCTTTATTCTAAATCATATAATCTAAAATAAGAATTATACTAAAGATGTGATGTTATTATTTTCTAAATATAAAAGGAAACGATATTACTTTCCAAAGAATAATATATATCCCTGAAAGTTTGTTTCCGGCATAAGACAAAAATTGCTATCCGTAAAAAGGTATGTTTGCCACAATATGATATAAATATGGAAAATTAGATGGTGTCTCTACAATGTTTCCCTTGTATTTTATATAGAAAGTTTTTCACTAATGGCTTCTTCGTCTGCTGTTGGAAGAAGGAGGGGCATGGTTAATCAGTTAAGTACTGAAGATCAAGCATTAAATGAAATTGCTCGAGAGGTAAATGGCCATGAAATATAAGAAATTATAAGATTATTCAAATGCAGCAATTTACCCCCAAGTTTATCAAATACTTCAAATATACCAATATATCTAACATCTTTTAAACAGTTCTTTTCAAGTTTCACTACTTTGGTGACTTGAGATATATTGTAATATATTGTTACTGATAAGAAGTGAAACAACTAATTTTTAAAAACTAATATAACTTTTTTGAACCATCATATTTAAGGCTGAAGCTCGTCTTGCTGCAAAACGTGCTGCAAGAGCAGAAGCAAGAAGTATCAGAATGAACGAGCTTGAAAAGATGCAGAAAGAGGTCAGTATAAAAATAAAGTTTCTTTAGAAATTTGAAATTTTAAAAATTCTTATAGTTATTCAAGCAAGAATATGCAAACTATATACAAACAAAAGTAGTTAAATTTTTTTAAAATTTTTATTCTTTATTTTTCACCGTAAAACATTAGCTATTCTGCTTAAACTTAATTGTACTGATCAAAATATTGCCAATGTATTCTAAAAAATAATGAAAGTAAAAGTCAGTTTTGTTATTAATGCCATTAAAACTAAAATAATATTAAAAGTGTCATTAAGCAATTTTTTATGGAATTTTTACATTTAAAAAAAAATCATGTATTTACCAGTTATATAAATCTAAAAAAAGTTTAACATATTGTCTTGCATGTTAAATGTTGCAACTTATATTTATTAAGAGTTTATAGTGATGAAGTTTGTTTGAAATAAATAATAATGAAAATATAAAATAAAATATGCTTTTTATGATGATATATTTATAATTTTTTTTTATTTTTTATTTTAATCATATTTAGGGTGACCATTGTCTCGGTTTTTACATTGGAGAGCACAACGCTAAATTATTTAAAATTAAAAATCATACTCAAGGTTTTTTTTTTTAGTATTGTTCAATTCCATTTTTTTGAACATAATATATTGACTACAGTGTAATAAGCTTTTAATCGCAGTATGCAATTAAAAAAACAAACAAAAAAAAAACTCACTTCTAACAAGAATACAAGTAACTAGTAATGAATTTAGTAGTTATTAGGACACAAAGTAGAGAATAAAAGAGCAAGAGAGCGATTGACAAAAAACTTGTAAAACTGTTGATTTTATTTAATTAGAGGAACATAAAAACAAAAGAGAAGTCCAAAGCATTGATTTTTAAGGAAAAAACTAGATGCATGTTGGTTTTTGAACACAGTTACAATAGAATCATACAATTTAGCTTAATGATGAGTCAACAAGATTTAGTTTTAGTTGATGGAACACATGATGATAGCTCGCATGAGCAGTGACCATGGTAGTATTTACAAAAATAAGAAAGAGATGCAACTTTGCAATAATAAGACAAAGGTTCAATACAATTTTGGACCCTTTTTGAAAGAGAAAGGGCCACATTAGAGGAATCAACCTAAATATCACAACAATATTGCATGTAAAGACAAAAAATATAAAAGAGAATAGAATTAGGAGTATTAAAATGGTCTTAGCATAAGCTAACTTTGCAATGTATTGTATATAATTTCCATGATGTCAGACTTTGTTGAATGCCTTTGTATATCTTTTCAAGAGCAATACCTTACTGATTATATCTAATGCATAATGGAATCTTAATGTTTTCCAAGTTTACAAGTCTACTGTAGATGACTAGAAGTTGCTCAAATTCTGAATCTGAATCCTGTTTTTAAAAAACAGTAGTTAGAGGTGCAATAATAGGTTAAATCTTATGTTAAATGATATGAGATAAAGATCTTGGTTAAAGTCATAGCATAATTGAAACCACCTGAAGGAGAAACTAAGTACAAGCTAGGAACAGAGACAAAATTCCATGAGTTTCAGTAATAGCGTCATCGATTTTTTTGTTTGTTTACATAATCTATTTTTTCCACAAACAAAATTTCAATGACGTCATGTACTAAAACTTTTAGGAATAAAACCTGCTTGAATAAATTATAAAATCTGTAGATTTCAGCATATAATATGCTGACTTTTTGGCCTACAACAAAATAGAGAAGGCAAGCTTCGACTAAAATAAAAAAAGTTTTTTTGGTATGCATTCATTCATTTATTTTAATCAAAAAAATTTAGCCCAAACATTTTTTAACACAACATGTTTCAAAGGTTTGGGATCTCTTTAACAATCTTTAATGCTTTTTTTAAAAGCATGGTTATCGCAAAAAATCTTTTTCATATCATAATGAACAACACTTGTTATGTATATATTCTTGTAATATTATTGTTACAAGCATATGCTTGTAACAAGTATAAAATGAAATTTTATATTTAACAAGCATTTTTTTTAACAAACTAAATAAAATAGCTCACACAAACCGAAAACTCTTGTAAAAAGCTGTTAAGAGGAGGTGCTCACATGTTTCGCCATATTTGTTTTAGGAGAGCTTTTCTCCTCTCTCTCACTCATTTATTCCCGCCAAGGCCTGAAAATGACAACAGACTAAATTAATTATTGTAATAAACATGTTGAGCAAATTTGTGATATTATTTAATCATTTTGTTATAAAAAACATAGTTAAATAATTTTTTTTCAGTTTAAAAACTTTAAATAAATATGATTTTGAAAATTAAAAATTTAAATTTTATTATGTAATGTAAAATAAATTAATACAATAAAGCAATACATCTTAAATGTTAACAATTTTGTGCGTTAACATTGGAAATGTTAACAAAATTGTGAAATGTTAAACAATTTCAGAATTTTGTTAACATTTAACTACAACACATAACTACAGAAGAGCTTCCACAAATCGAGAATTTAGGGGATATTATTATTGATGCAGTTAATATAGATTATTTTGATGTTTTAAGTAGATTGAAACATGTTGATATCAATAAAACATATGGAGTTGATTCTATACATCCATTGATTTTGAAAAGTTGTGCGGATTCCGTAGCATTGCCATTAACTTTAATTTTTATAGAATCTTTTGTTAAAAGTGAACTACCAACTCAATGAAGAGCAGCAAATATTACACCACTATTCAAAAAGGGAGATAAATTAGAAGCTGCAAATTATAGACCGGTGTCATTGACGTCAATTACTTGTAAAATTATGAAAGGTATAGTCAGAGACTGCATACAATCATATTTAATGAAATATAAATTAATATCGAAGTCACAACATGGTTTTGTTAAAGGAAGTCTTGTACAACAAGCTTATTAGAGAAGTTGGATTATATTTAGTTTAACTTATCGATTGGTATTTCGGTAGATGAAGCACTTTTAAATTTTGTTAAAGCTTTTGATTCTGTTGCTCACAAAAGACTATTGATTAAACTATCTTCATATGGAATTAGTGGTTTATTATTAAAATGGGTTGTTGCTTTTTTAAAAAACAGAATCCAAAGAGTTATCCAAGGTGATGTTGTTTTTTCATGGCACAAAGTCTTCAGTGGTGTTCCGCAAGGATCCGTAATAGGGCCCTTATTATTTGTTATTTTTATTAATGATATATCAAATATATTTAAAAATAAGTCAGAATTGTATGCAGATGATACAAAAATTCTTTCAAAGTGAATGAAATAAATGTGGAAAATGGCTTGCAGAAAGATCTGGATAGTGCAGAGGAATGGTCTAAAAAGTGGCTCTTGGGTTTTAATTCTAGTAAATGTGTTATAATGCATTATGGTATAAATAATCTGCGATTGAAATATACTTTAAATGGTGTTGAACTGAAAGATTCTGAATGCGAGTGAGATTTAGGTGTATATTTTTCAACAAACTTAAAAATGTAAAAAACAAATTATATCAAGTACTTCTAAAGCAAATTCAATGATGGGTATGTTAAAGATGACATTTTCACGAATTGATGCAAAATTGGTTAAAACATTGTATAAGGTATTTATTAGACCTCTTATTGAGTTTGCAGTACCTGTTTGGTTACCTTATTTTAAAGGAGACATATCATATTTTGGAAAAAGTTCAACACAGGATGACTAGATTAGTTCCATCATTAAGGAAAATTAATTATGAAAAGAGATTAGAAATATTAGATATATCTACATTGAAAACAAGGAGGGAACGTGGGGATTTAATACAAGTGTTTAAATTACTTAACAGATTTGAGGAAATTGATTTAATTAATGAACCGAAGCTTAAAATTGATTCAATTACTCAAGGTCACAATCTTAAATATGAAAGAGAAATTGTGAACTATTTACCTTGGCATCATTTTTTATTAAATCGTACGGCCAATTTATGGAACGCTTTACCGGAAACTGTTGTTACTTCAAAAACTGTCAATCAATTTAAGAATAGATTAGATGAGTATAACGCCAAATCAAAGAAGTTTTAGCTAAACATTTTTAATATATATTTGGATTAATGCTGTCAAAGTGTGATAAACCGCACTCGCTGGATTCGTCCAGTTACAGTTTAACTACTAACTAAGTAAATAAATATTTCCTTTTTATTTGCAAACTAATTCATTATGTGTAAATGTTGAGATTTTACAAAAATCTCCACCATAAATTTATATAGAGCAAGCATAAATCTTATTTTTTGTTCTAAGAAAGAAGAAGTGTTTTTGTTTAAGATAATTTTTTCACTTATGGAATTTAAACTTTTTGTTTTAAATGCAACATTATGCTAAATTCGTATGATGTAAGTTTTATTTATGAACACAAATTATGTTTACAAATATCTTATTGGTAACTGATAAAATATAAATTGTTTACAATCTTTATTAAAAATAGTTCATTAAATACTTAAAAAAACAAAACAGACAATTATATTATAATTTATTATAAAGCAAAAAATAATTGTTTTAAGGAAAAAAAAGTTAAATTATGAAAAAAAAAGTTAAATTATAGTCTTCATATCTTTTAACTATTATGCTAATTATATATATATATATATATATATATATATATATATATATATATATATATATATATATATATATATATATATATATATATATATATATATATATATATATATATACGCACACATATACAAGTGTTGAAATAAGTACCAGACATCGTTGCTTCATTTTTTCTAACAAAATGAAAAATATTTGGTTTACCTCCTTTAGTAGATCTTAAGATTGGTCCAGTCGGTGGTGATGTCTGGCGCCTATTTCTACCCCTGTATTTGTATATATATATATATATATATATATATATATATATATATATATATATATATATATATATATATATATATATATATACAGCATGGAAAATAACAGCCGGTCAATGGTCAATGACAGCCTGAAATGACTAAAAATCCTATTTTAACCTCCCAAAATGAATTCTTGCTGGTCATGGTTGACTGGTTGAAAAAAAGTTAAAGATTTAAAAGCAAGGTTTGGCAAATAATTAGGATTTTTATTGGAAAATGCATATATTAAAATTATTTAAATTTTGAAAAAGCATTTAAAATAGTTTTCTCGTTTATGATATGCTACTTTAATTGCTAGCAGGTCATTAAAGCAAAATGTTTGATAGCAAAAAGAAGTTAAAACAAATTTTTCTTTAATCCTTTTCAATACTGCCTGCTTTTATCTTTGTTTTAAAAATGTTTGATTAAATTTATTTTTTATCAATATAATTTAACAATTAAAAATTAATAAGTTCTTAATAATTTATATCAATATAATTCAATATTTAAAGATTAAATTTATTAATGATTTTATATTATTAATTCTGCTACTTGTAATATATTTGAGTATGTATTAAATTTTTCATTGTTAAAACTTTTATCTAATATTTATTGCATATTAATAGAAAACAAGAATTTTACTGCTTTAAGAACCCTGAACTATAATCATTAAGATTTTTTGCTTTACTTATTTAAATTAATTTTATTTTACCAATGGTAAAATCCTTTTTTACTTTAATTACTAAATGAGCGCTGGCTTTTTTTTTATATAACAGTATTATTAAAAATATATCTTTATTAAAAATCTTGTTTTATGTAAATTTAATAATTTTTATTGTGTTTCATTGAACAAATTGTTAAATTTTTTAAAATTGAATTTTCAAAATTTGTTTTATTAAACAAATTGTTTAATACTAAGAAGACGAATATTTTGCTAGAAATACACATCATGCGGTAGTGGTGTAGTGGTAGAGCGCTCGCTTCATAAACAAGTGGTTCCGAGTTCGATCCCCACCACGTCCCTGGTAGTACCGCGCTCAACTCGTTTCTCCGCGTAGCGGCCTTGTTCATCAAGGTTCGTGTTTCGGAGTTATAGAGTTGAGAGAGGGTTATAGCCACAAAATAAGTAGCCTCCTCGTTTGTAGTGGCCTTCTCGGCCTTGAGGAGGTGAAGTAAAATTAAAAAAAAAAAAAAAAAAAATTTAAAACAATTTAAAATATTAAATATTTAGTTTAAATAGTATACAAGAATTAGTAATATTATTATTTACTAATTAACATTGGTGGATTTTGAAATGATTTTAATAAGCAAGAGATATAATGTTTGCAAAAGTTTTTCTTCTTTAACTTTAGAGATTTATTTCATTATTATTCGAAATTATTATATATAACTAAGAACATAATCTCAACTGTACTTTTTTTTCATTTAATCTTTTTTATTATTTTTCGCACAGCTTTTCCGGCCATTTGAGAATGTTTTGCAAAGAATTGCGGTGAATGGAGCTTGGGAACAAAAAAACCCTAATTTTTGGGCCTACCTAGCCTTTATTGTGGGAGCAACAAGTTTATAAAATATTTTCTTTACTATATTTATATAAATTTATATTCATCGACAAATTACAAATTGCAATCATGCAATAATCTTTTATTTAGTTTTTATGACCCTACACAGAGTTCCCACACCTCCTTAAAAACCTTAAATATCCTTAAAAAATAAAAACCTCCTTAAATGTCCTTAAATAACCTTAAAAAAAGTTAAAATTTGACTGCTCTCCTTAATTTCTCCTTATTTTTTTTACATTTAACTATAAATTTTTTTTAAAGTGAATGGGCTATACTTGTTTATAAAAAAGATAATATATAAATTTTTGATCTATATATTATCTTTTTTTGGTTTTTAAACCTATTTTTGTTATTTTATATATATATATATATATATATATATATATATATATATATATATATATATATATATATATATATATATATATATATATATATATATATATAAAGAAATAATAATTTCTCTGTTTATATTTAAAATTTATTGAAAAAAATAAATCATCATTATTTTCGAAAAATAAGATATTATTGCATAAATCTGAAATCTGTTGATGAATATAAATTTAGAATAGTAGAGAAAATATTTTACTATGTCTAATGCTGCTATATATATATATATATATATATATATATATATATATATATATATATATATATATATATATATATATATATATATATATATATATATATATATATATATATATATATATATGTAATTAGTCCTCTCCATAATTATTCTCTGTAATTAGTCCTCTCCATAAACTTCTTGGTTTTTGTACTCAAATCTTTACTAAAAGCTTTTAAATAAGTAAGAAAAACCTTTTTAAGGTATGAATAATTTAATCACTTTTGACACAAGATTGAGTAGAATGTATGTTTTTATTCAATTTTTATAATTTCAGGCTGATCATCATATGGATAAAGAGTATGAAAAAGATTTTGAAGATTCTCCTAAAAAACGGGTATGGAATAATCTTTTTTCTATAAGAAGCACTCACTAAAAATTAAAAGAAGATACTTGCATTTAAAATTACTAAACATTGTTTAAAACAAACTTTAAAGCCTTTTTTTAAACCTAACTCTAGCAGAACTATAAGATTTAGCAGGTGTTGATATCTGGGGCTAGAAAAAAAATTATAATACTTTTTATATTATAGTTTTATGCTTACATTTACTATTTATTAAATACTGCCATAAAAGCTTTCAAACTCAAAATTTCAAAATTTACTTTCAACAAGATTGTAAGCAACTACTATTGAGTTATGAGTTACTTTAAAATAGAGAATAAGTAAAAATACTAGGAAATGGTTAACTATAATTATATGCGGTAGTGGTGTAGTGGTAAGAGCGCTCGCTTTGTAAGCGAGCGGTTCAGAGTTCGACTCCCACCACGTCCCTGAAAGTACCGCGCTCAACTTAATTTCTCCACGCAGCGGTCTTGCTTGTCAAGGTTCTTGTTTCTGAGTTAAAGAGTTGAGAGAGGGTTGTACCACGATTTACAACAACAACAACAACAACAACAACAACAACAACAACAAAAAGAAATAAGTAGCCTCCTCGACTGTAGTGGCCCCCTCAGGCCTTAGGGAGGTGAATAATTAAAAAAAAAAAAAAAAAAAAAAAAACTAAAGACTTAAAAAATTGTAGGTTGTATATAAAAAAAAAACATGAAGATGGGTAAGAGTTATAAGGTTTTTTTGATGTGCAAGGAAAAAAATTGGATTTATAAAAGTTTTTAAAATATGAAGGAACAAATACAGTAAAAGGATGCAACTTGTTGAGTAAGAAACAAGCAAGAATGATTTTTGGTTTATTGTAATAGAGATGATAGCTTGTTTGAGCATTGATAGTATTTGTAGAAAAAAATAAACACAACTTTACAACTATGGTAGAGTGGCTCAAGCTTGGCAGATAAAGCAGGTCTTTACATTTTTTAAATTTTAGACAAAGTCTAAAAGCACATTGTAAAATTACATTTACAATGTGCTTTTAGACTTTGTCTGAGAGAAAGTGGGTTATTATTCATCAATATAGGAATGTCAACATTATTGCAATTTTTTTTTTGCAGTAAATAAATGAGTTTTGTTGTCTAAAAAAAATTGTGGATTTAAAGTCAAGAATTTAAATCCATATCCACTGCAAGCCTTAGGCTGTTATAGAAGAGAGATCAGATTAAACCTTTAGCACTTTTTAAAATTTTTTAGCACTTTTTAAAAATTTAGCAAAAATTAAAGAGAGTTCTGGAGAATACTTTTTTAAGACTATGATGGAAATCTTGTCTAAAGCATAAACTGTAGATGTGTTTAACTGAGAATGAACTTAAGGATTGGAAGCCAGAGTGATTTTGATATTTAACAATGGGTTAATCTGTTTAATTGCCATGAAAAGTATGGCCATTAGATTCAAGAGTCAAATTAGAGTAAGATTTCTTTGCAAATAATCCTGTTTTATTCTGGGGAGAAGTAAAAAGATCAGACCCATTAATTAGACATTAAATAGTAGACTTACTTAAGTTAATAACATTGTTAAAAGTCTCTAGAACCTAACATCTGATAAAAGATACAAGATTTAGTAAACAAAATAACAGAGAATAACAGAGCTTGAAATCAGGCAGGATCTTTTTACCTTTTGACATCATTACAGGACTTTTTTTTATCTTTTTATTTTATTGACTTCTTGGAATAATAAAAGGATATTTGTTCTAAAGAGAGATGTTCTTGTAAAAAAGATGAAAAAAATGATTAATGTTTAATAATGCAACTGCTCAAGATAGTGAAAAAGGTGGAGTAAAATGAGGCTTCCAAACTTTAAGTCCAGAAAGAATAAAAGCTTCTAAGATGCCATTTATGCATGTATATTGTGGATATAAACATATATGTTTGTGGTTTATTTAGATGCTGGCAATCAATAAAGAGAAGGTGACCAGATGATGATCACGATTATGATGACCATGATCATGATGGTTATGATGATCATGTTTTCATAATAATGTTTATATATGCATATATATACAAAATATAATATGTATTTTAAATTAAAAAAAGTATACTTTAGCATGTATAAATGTTTATGCAGCCTCAGTCACAAACCCAGCCCTGGCCCTGGCTATATTTTATCAAACCAAGCCTCTGTCAAATATCAACCATGGCCGCTTACTAATTGAAACTTCGGTCAAACTAGCTGTTTTCATTTGAAATAAAATATAGAATGCTAGTTTTTTTTTACTATATCAGGCATGGACAGGAATGGCGAGCATATATTTTTTATGATAAATTTAAATGTCTGAAACTATTTTTCCAAGTCTTCCTAAAAATCTTTTAAACCATTTATAGAAAGAATTTTTTTCATGTTACATTAATTTATGAATAAGTTCAAAACCTTTTTTGACTACTAGCTTTTACACATTTTATGTAAATGTAAAATAAAGAATATAAAAGAATATAAAATAACTTTTTTTACTTATATAAGTATGTATTGTGTTGATTAATGGAAAAGTTTTGAAGCATTTTGTAATGTTTATAAGATTAATTTTTATAATTAAACTTAAAATTTTTTTTAATCTTTTAAACAAGCATTTTTAAAAAAGTTTTATTTTTTGTAATTAGGATAGGAATGAATGAAAAATTATTATAAAAGAAATCTTTTATAATAATTTTAAAAAACGTTATGTGAAGCGCTTATTAATAAAGTTGTAATGCTCAAATTAAAATTAAATTAAATTGCTTATTGGCAGTTTATTTTATTTTATCTAAATTGCAAGCGAATTTTATCTATTTTTTTTCTCCTATTTTTACGATTAAAAAAGTTGAAAACCTTTATTTTAACTAGACTTACTAATTAGAGCATGAAATTATTAAAAATTACTATTTTAAAAAGACCAAGTTACTTTTTTAAACTTTTTTTTTTGCTTTTTTTTTGCATTTAAAAAAAAAAAAATGTTTATACAATTTAAAAATATATACAACACTTTTTAATAAATTTGTTCATTTATTAAACAATCTTTAGTAGTAATATGTTACTTAATTTAAAAGCGTTTCGTATAACTTAATAAAACGTTTAAAAAGATAAGTTTTAATAACATTTATTACATACATAATTAAAAATGTAACAAAAAGTTTTGCTTCGAGTTTAAGTTTTTACTTTTTATTTTGTTTTAGTGCTTATATAATTTCTTTTTTGTAAGGAATTTTTTTTTTCATTTCATTTTTGTTAGCAATTTTTTTTTTTGTTAGTTTTTTATTTTTAAGTTTAGCTTAGCATTTCTACATTCAGCGCATTACTGAAATGTTTAAATCATCAAAACCTTTGAACATATATATATATATATATATATATATATATATATATATATATATATATATATATATATATATATATATATATATATATATATATATATATATATATATATATATATATATATATATATATATATATGTATATATATATATATATATATATATATATATATATATATATATATATATATAATATATATATATATATATATATATATATATATATATATATATATATATATATATATATAAAATAAGCAAGAGCTTTAGCTCTCACCCACACTCCCTTAATGATGTTTACAGAAGCAATTTATGGCTCTCGCAAAAGTATAGTTTTTCATAAATATAAACCACTTTTTATCTCTATTTTTAGATATTGATTAGAATAGATTAAAATTTTTGTGCAAACTATATCAAATAAACAAAAAACAAAGTTCCAGTTTCAGATTGATTTTTTTTTTTTAATTATAAAATGTGATAGTTTATTTTTAGTAATGTTCTATCAAATAAATGGATAGTGTGAAAACCTAAAGAAAACGCTTGTCTAAAGAATTTTTTCATGGGGCAATAAACAACTTTCTTTATTTATATAACAATAGTTTCGTTATTTATATAATCTGTTAACAATAGTGTTAACAGAATATATAAATAACGAAAGCAATTTATTCAATAAATAAACAGATAGTTCGCCTATAAACTGAAATCTCTCGTAAAAAGCTATTTAGATGAGCAGCTCATGGTTCGCTAATTATTTTTTATGAAAGCTTTTCTTCGTTCCCGCACTTATTTACTACCGCTGAGGCCTGTATACAAACCTTCACAGGAAACGTGTGCGTTTTTTCATCTTGTATGACCACATGCAAGTATTTTATTTTAGATAACTTGGGCTAAATTAATGTTTGGAATTACTAATGTTGTTTGAACAAAGAATTAACTTTAAAAGTAATAAGTGCGTTATAAAAGTGATAACACTATTATAGTTTTATTACTTTTATAATGCAGTTAATGACTAGAGTGTTATTACTTTTGTTGTCGTAAATTTTTTGTTTTCTTTTGTTTTTTAATAACTTTCTCACTAACAAACTCATAATAATTTGCTCTGCATAAACTAAAATTTGAAGACCTGGTATTTTTCCAGAGTTTGCAAATCGCGATCACTTAATTCAATCCTACATATATATATATATATATATATATATATATATATATATATATATATATATATATATATATATATATATATATATATATATATATATATATATATATATATATATATATATATATACTTTTTACATTAAAATTATACAAACATATTTCACAAACAAATGACAATTTATATTTTCGCTTTCCTATTTAAAAAAACAAACAAATAAAATATAGGAAAATCATTCTTTTAATGTTTAAAACTTTTTTCTTTTTTTTTGCTTTGAATTACCGAATTTTGTTGCCGAAAGTAAAACACTATGAAGAAACCAAAATAGAAACAGTACACAAATTATTTTACTTATTGTTATTATTATTTTCTATTTAAGTTTGTTTTAATTTCCTATTTTGTTATTTTTCTTTTTTTGTTTATGAAACGTTTTTCAGCAACACATATAATAAAACTTGCAAACAGCCGTGACCGAGTTGTCTAAAATAAAATACTCATGCGTGAACAT